TTTAACCATGGAAAATAATGGAACAAAAACAGAGAGAAACTCTTACCTCTCAGAGTATGAGAATAGCTTCCGCTTCGAATACTAGAAAAATGCTAGTTTGGAAGGCAAAGGTTCCAGGTTTGTGAAAATCTTTTACTCTCTGTGAAAAAGACTCTAGTGACATTGCCTGAGAAAGACTCGAGCTTTTTATAGCGTATGAATCGGCGTTTGGATTTCTTGGAATCGAAACGGCGTTTGGGCGGCAAAGGTTTCTCACCGTTGATCACAGCCACGTGTCACACATCAATAGGAAAGAGTGAGCGTCACGACGGGATAAAGTCAAACCTTCATCTTTCCCGTTGAAAAGCTCAAACGACGGCCATTTCTCTTTCTCAAAGCATTAATTGCGTCTCAAATCTACATTTAATGCTCTGATAAGGGGTGTCGTTCCAACGTATAATGCATTTAATGTCCTGATAAGGCGTACTGTGTCAGCGTACAATGCATTTAATGCATCTGGTTGGCACTTATCACACACAAGGCACATCTGTCAGCACAAAGACTATTTCATTAAATGCACCCATATCAAAAGCACAACAGGTGACGTCTAACGAAATCAGGTTGCTCGTCCTCTGCAAACAATGATCATGCGAGGTCGTGTTCACAAAAAAGTGCTGTCCCGACCTACTTTCAAACAGGTCGGAATCACCAGAATTTCCAGGAATCATCCAATTGCGGCATGACTGGTAGTTTCCAATGTTCGATTCTCAAACCTTAAAAACCAGGGGACTTCTGTTATGCCTAGGAGAATATGGTTGACGTGGTGCCCAGTTAAGTGCGAAAGGTCAGACCTCGGGAAGAGTTTACTGACATTCTGGCGCAGCCGCGTCGTGTGATCATGGTTACACCCACAGCCTACTTTCGTCAGAATAGTGGGTGCACGTCAAGCCAGCCAGGAGCTGTGATGATCCCGCGTGTCCAATCCCTATAGCAAATCATGTGAATTACTCTAGAAGATGGATAATGTGACATAAAGAATGATTTGCACGGATCATCCCACCAACTTACAGATTCAGTGATGATTACCTCAATGCATCCCAATATAAGTTGAGAGTTCCTCTCTCATTAAAGGGATTCGCACATTTACTCTTGACCAACCTCTCTCTCTCTCTAGAATAAACAGCATTTGATACCTTGTATTCTCAGTGTAAAGTCAGTCGTCTAAAACAACCTGACCCTTATCAATAACAAAAACATCAGTGGACGTAGGACTTGCTTCCTTAGCATCCGAACCACTTTAAAACTGCTTTCTCACTGCATTGACTGTCATTTTCCTTTCTATTCACGTGTGTCTTTTGGGTCAACTCAACATTTTACACATGCGTTTTGTTGGTGTCAAAATCATGCATCAACAATAATCATTTCAAATTAAGTCCACTAAGTACACCACAATCAAATTAATTATTTCGTTTCTATATTTCAGTCTAATATATATATTCTTAAATTTAAAGTTTTTAAAGGTTGAAATAGTAGGCTTAGGCCTCTAGACTACATTTCAAGGTTGAATAAGCGTTGTTACAATTTTTGGCATTTCTAAACAGTAGGTGATTTGTAGACTCTGCACTTAACCTTAAGCAATGATAAACATAACAAGTATAATCATTAAAGTTAAGAACAAATCGCATAATTGCAACCTAAAATAACCTCTCTTTTTAAACTAGAGAATTTCACGTTTCTCTTTATCTTATGAGGTGGGTATGTATCTCCTTTTGTTTTATAACTAAAATTAGATCTATAAGACAACTAAAAGAATTAAAGAATATCTTATAATGGCAACAAACTAAGATGCCTTCTAGAAGCGCCAAGTCGCAATTAATGGCCAATAAAAAAAAAAATTATGTTGCACCAGCATACATAGATTGTCGTAATATATATATATATATATATATTGCTTTACTACTGTATAAGCAAAAAATTCAAATTGTAACTCTAGCAATTAAAAGAATAACAGGAAAGGAGATATAAAATTAAAAAGAGAAAATTGCACGCACAGATTGATTGACAAAATACAAAAGCGTAATGGTGTATTAATTCAATTTAATCTCAATTTCTTCTGTTTCTAAATGATTTAATGCCTATCTTTACTTGCTTGAACTTCACAAAATTAAAATTATTATTCAATGAACTTGTCTCTTGTGATATTACTTGAAGCATACACCACTTATCTTTTGCTGTTGTTGGTTAATAAAGATACTTTTATTTTTTGTAAATGATACGAAAGGTTGAGATTGTATTTTAATTAAGATCCTGAATATTTTGCATTTGGCATGTTATATAAAGGATGAATTGATGTGATATTTAATATAAATTAATTAAACATTATTTAGGATTGAGAAGTTTGAGATAATATTCCATGATAATTTTGTAGTATAGAATAGAGTAAACGACATATTCTCATCCGAAGTTCGGCGAAATCCCAAGTTGGTAACCCTGGTTCCATTTATTCCAAATTCCCACTCTTAAAATAACACTATTAACAATTTTTAGGATAAAGAAATGTGCTATTACCATAATACGCTTAACAAATAAATTAATAAATACTTATTAACTACTAAATAGTAAAATTATAAAATTAACCATCTTATTTTCAAATTATTTTAATAACACCCTCGAAAACTACAGACCCTATCAGTTTTTCCCCAATCTGGGCTGTTTCTGACGGCATTGAACCCCGTGGTCACCTCCATCACCTTCCCCATAGCCCATCGTCCAAAACCCCTCTAGTTCTTGACTCAGTGGCCCCTCCAATCATTGATGCCGTTAGGTTTAGGGTATTGCTATTCCTTGTCGGATTCCGGTTGATTCCGACGGCAACAATCCAATTGGACACCACCACTGCAACCAGCGTCTCCAACTCTACAAAACCCCTATGTCCCCAGCAACCGTTTAGTCATCGTTTGTCGGCCGAGAGTTTCGTGTTCATCACATTTTTTGGAGCTATCGTGGCTAGCAAACGATGAGCTGTTGTGGCTAGGAAGGTAAAGGGTTTTGTAGGGAGTCAAACGATGGTGTTGGTTGGGATTGTTGTCACTCAAAATGGCTGAAAATCGGCAAAAAAAGTCACACAACACCGCTACCATGGTCGGTGATCGGCGAGTGATAAGGGGTTGTAAATGATAAGGTTTTTTAAAGGGAAGGATGTGGTTCAAATAGTAGTGACAATAGTGATTTTAGGTGGAAGAATCACTGGAAAAGGGTAAAAAATGTTGAGGGCTACATCTGCTAACATGCATTGGAGTCTTGTTAGAAGCAGTAATCTGCTAACGTGCGTCATCTCTTACAAAATGACTAATTACCCCTTTATTATTATATTAAACAATTTTTCATCACTTGAATGTGAGAATTTAAAATAAATGTAACCGCATCGTCAAATCGCGGTGGGAATATGTGGTTTACTCTATAAAATATTATCTCTTACGAGGATCAAGACTAATTAATGATGAATTGATGTGATAAGAAATATAAATTAAACAAATAGGTAAAAAAATTTGATATTAGAGATGTGTATCTCCAGTTTTATTTTTATTATATAGTAATTAATCACATGGGTATTTATCTTTACACTCAACACAAATGTGAAACTAAAGATGTCTATCTCTAGTTTTATTTTTATTATATAGTAATTAATCACATGGGTATTTATCTTTACACTCAACACAAATGTGAAACTAAAGATGTCTATCTTTAGTTTTATTTTTATTATATAATAATTAATCACATGGGTATTTATCTTTACACTCAAGACACTGTGATATTAAAGATGTGTATCTCTAGTTTTATTATATAGTATTTAATCACATGGGTGTTTATCTTTATACTCAACACACATGTGATATTAAAGATGTGTATCTCTAGTTTTATTATATAGTATTTAATCACATGGGTGTTTATCTTTATACTCAACACACATGCGATATTAAAGATGTGTATCTCTAGTTTTAATTTTATCATATAGTAATTAATCACAAGGGTATTTATCTTTAATACACTCAACACACATGAAAGTCTATTCATCCTTAACTGAAATACTTAAAATTAGAAATGAAAGTCTATCATCCATTACCAAATTAAACTAATTGAAAAATGAATTTCTTAAAACTATGAAAATTGAATATAATTTGAAAAGTGGGTGTATTTAACTTATTATATAAAATGCAGGAATAATTACTTTGTTTCAAAATGTCGTATTGTTTTTTAATTTATTTCTTGGGTAAGTAGTATTAATCCGAAAATTATTAATGGGGAGACATTTAAAAACAAAAAAAACAAAACAAAACCAAAGGAAAGGAAACATTGACAAATTGTATTTTTGTCAATAAACAGACTCTTATTTATCAATTAATTAACACTTCTCAAGAATAATACATTGAAGAAAAACTGAAAGAGATAAAGATTGTCAATATTATTAAGTAGAGAAATATTTATTTTATTGAATACTCTCTATGATACAACTATTGAACTTTCTTATATAGCATATCCAAGTTATTTTCATTCACTAGCTAAAAATAAAATAAACCCTATTTAAAAGTAAAATAAAAATATTCTAAAACTTTGTATATATTCTAATTATAAATAATTTCTTCATGTAAAAACTTCCAATGCCACCTCATCTTTTTCATCAACTTCAATGAAAAAATCATAAATTAAGGCTATAGTTGAGATGGCTTATTTTTAAAAGCTTAAATAATAATTTTCAATAAATAAATGTTAATTTTCTATTGGTTCGTGGTACAACCTCAAAATGTTGAGGTGGTAACATAGAGATATTCTAGATTTTCTCTTATTAATTACTCCAATAACATTAATTATTTTTAAAACTTGATTTGTCTTAGGTTATAAATTTTTTATTAGTCCTACAAATCATTGTTTATATAAGTAGACTTCCTGAAAAGTTTTATTCTGCAACTATTTAAACCCCTAAACATTTCTCTCTTTAAAAATCAACTACATTCAGGAACCAGATGTCTCAAAACCTTAAAAGTTCCCCAAGCCTCCCATGGAAGCCCTGGTTCTTGATGAACTTCCTCGCCTATATTGTCGACGCCAGTCGCCGCCCTAACATTACCGTCAACCGCCGTCTCTTCAACCTCTTTGACTTGAAATCTCCACCATCAAAAAACCCCATTAACGCCGTTGCAACCTTAGATATCGTAGTTGACACTTCTCGTGACCTCTGGTTTCGCCTCTATACACCTGAAAAAGGAGGTGGAGATGACGTTAGCATGCCTGTCATTTTTTACTTGCATGGCGGAGGATTTTGTTACTTGCAAGCCAATTCATTTAGCTTTGATAGGTTTTGTAGAAGGCTAGCCAAGGAGCTTCATGCCGTAATAGTTTCTATCAACTATCGTCTCGCCCCAGAGCACAGGTATCCAAGTCAATGTGAAGATGGTATTGATGTGCTCAAGTTTGTTGACACCACAAACATTGAAAGATTCCCTTCTTGTGCTAATCTCAAGCATTGTTACATTGTTGGAGACAATGCGGGTGGCAACTTGGCGCATCAAGTAGCACTTAGAGCCACTCAGAACAATTTTTTGAAGCTGGAGATCATTGGACTTATAGCGATTCAACCGCTTTTTGGTGGTGAAGAAAGGACAGAATCAGAAATTAGGCTTCACAAATCTACATTATTGCCGATGGAGCGGACTGATTGGATGTGGAAGGCTTTACTGCCAAAAGGTTCAAATAAAGACCATCCGGCAGTGAACATTTTCGGGCCGAATGCGGTTGATATTTCGGACGTGAAGTTTCCCGCGACGATTGTATTTGTTGGAGGGTTAGATACATTGCAAGATTGGCAAAAGAGGTACTATGAAGGATTGAAGAAAAGTGGAAAAGAAGCTTATTTAATAGAGTACCCTAATGCTGTTCACTCTTTCTATAGTCACCCTGAGATTCCTGAGTCATTTATGCTGATTGAGGAGTGCAAGGATTTTATAAGAATTCAATCTGCTAAAAGTTAATTGAATGATTTTAGGTGATATAGAGTTACCGCATTATTATGTGTATCTGTTGAAAAAAAAAAAAAAAAAGTTATGCGTTTGTTTAGTTGTGGTATTTTTAAAATATTATTGTAAAATTGAGTTGGATTATTATTTCGAGAATAAGATTTCAAAAATATGTGTTTGGTAGAGTATTTAGTTGGGTTATTATTATGAGAATATAATTTGATGTTTGGTAAAGTATTTAGGATAATATATAGAGTTGAATAAATTGTAGTGGCTGACGATGGTGGTGGCTATTCAAGTTCGTGCGACAGTAGACCTTGAAGCCTGAAACGTCTGGGCAATGGGCAGATCTTGAACGGTGGTGTGTTTGGAAGACAACACGACGGTGATGAGTGGTGGTGGAAGCCGGTGGCCTAGGGTTGAAGGAGGATGGCCGACGATGGTGGTGGATCTTGGAGATCGTGCAACGGTGGTGGTCCAAGGCTAAAGCATGTGGGCATTGCAAGAGGTTCAATGGTTATGGAGGAGGAAGAGAGATTTCCGGTGATGAGTGGTGGCGGAAGACAGACAATGTGCGGTGGGTGGAACAGATTTAATTTTTATGGCCGTTTTTGGGACAGAGATCTTGGGAAAGGAGAGCTGCAAGATCTTGGGTTTTTTTTCTGATTCAAGTGGAAGATCGTTTGGAGATAGATTTGGGAATTGAGTAGAAGATCATTTGTGACCGTGGTGAAGGAGTGAAGACAGAACAAGAAGAAAGACAAAAAAAAAGTGAAGAAAGAAGAAGAAGAAGAAGAAGAAGAAGAAGAAGAAAGCATTGCAAAATGTCAACATATTAAAGACAGACAACGGTCACAATTGTGAGGAATCAAATTTTGAAGATCGTATTTTATGAATAATAAAACAAACACTCACTCTGAAAATAGGATAGGAAATATGGTGGAAAATAGTAAAACATGTTATTTCCCTGAATATTTGAATAAAACTGTGTGTGTTGTTCATTCAATGAAATATGTGATATGGTGCTATAATCTATACATTTTTTGCATTTATAATGCGTTAAAATTTTCATGTTTTGGCAAGAAAATTGATCATATGTAATGGATTATAAGTTTGCTGAAACCAGAAATAGTCAAATGCAAACGTTAGCATTAGTAAAGGGTGGATTATCATTTACCAACTAGATATGTAATTTTGTAAGTTCTCGTTTTTGTAGAAATACTTATATGGGACAGTTTCACCACCTCACACGGTTGACACATTGATACCATCCAACAATATAATGGTATGTACTATCCCATTTTTGTCAAATGTCTTCTCAGCATGATTCACAAATAACTATCCATTATGATTCATCAAAAACCACCATCATATATAAGAGGTAAGTTTCAAAGTTAATAACATGTGTCTTTTTCTTTATTATATGTTCTCATCATGTCAACCAAGTGAGATGGTAAAGTTAATTTGATAAAAAGAGCTCAATTATTATGCCTGGAAAGTACACATATATACCGCCCAATAAACCTAGACTACTGTTAAACAATCCTAAACTAATTCTAAGTTTACCGAAACCGGAAATAGTCAAATGCAAACATTCGCATTACTAGAGCACAGATTACCTTGCAAGTTCTTGTTTTAGAGAGAACTTATATGGGATAGTTTTACCACCTCACATGGTTGACATAGTGAGATATCCAATAATATAATGGTATGTATTATCATATTTTTGTCAAATATTCTCTTTTATTCATCCGTCACCAAGATTCACAAATAACTATCCATTATAAGAGTTAGGTTTCAAAATTAATAATATGTGTCCTTTTCTTTATTGTATGTTCTCATCATGTCAGCCAAATAAGGTGGTAAGATTGTCCGATGTAATTTTTTTTTTTTTTTTTTCCCTTTTGTTTAACTATTTGAAGAGTTGTTGATAGGAAGGAAATGATTTTGTGTTCTCTACTTGATTGATGCAAATGGGTTATTTTCATAATTTCATTGTTACTTTAAGGCAGCCAAGAAGTGTTCAATAAATAATACATATTTCAATATTTTATGCAACTCATGATATAATATTTTTGTACAGTGTAGTGATCTTTCTAATTATTAAAACGGTAACTGATTATTGCCAGTACTAGAAAAACCTCCTTTCTTAATTAATAGTTATTACCTGTTAAGAAAGGTGTTCCTTAACAGTTTTTAAACTATCATTAAAACCCCTGTCAAGAAAGGATTAACCAAAAAATAAGAAATTTGAATAATAATAATATTAATCAAATTTTATTAATAATAATAATAATCCATCCTTTATAGCTTAAAAACTGTCAAAAAGTTTTTTTGTAAATATTTCTTTTTAAATATTTTTATTTTGTAATTAGTTTATTTTCCTGATTATTACCAATTAAATAATAGAATAATTCATGAAATTTTTCATAATATTCCTCAACCAACAACAATGATCACAATTCAACAATAAACTTAAACATTCAACAATCTTTCAATTGATTTAGTAAACGAAATTGATCGATAGTAGTATTGCCATCGGTAAGGTTCAACCAGAGATTATCCCTTTTATCACACTTAGCACGTTTCCACCCAGCTGGCGGATCAATAACACCATTGTCGATCTGTTGCAAATTCATTGCATATGCAGTGGTTTGCTTCTGATTAGCTGTCCATGCTGCAACTGGTCTTTCCGCTCAGCACCCTCAGCCATTAAGATGGCATCCACTGCCAACCTTACCTGCAATGTTTCACATGGAACAATCATAATAAGATCTTTGCTTGAGACGATAGAAATAGTTTTACAGCAAAAATAATAAGAAAGCAAAACAACAATTACCTTCTCGGGTAACTCCACATAAGGAAAAGGAAGTGTTACATAATCAGGCAATATGACTATATTATGAGTTTCGTCATATTCAGCTTCATTGTTGTCAAATCCCCCTTCAACACCTGAAAGTAGACCACATATTTCTCCTCAAACAGCAATATCATAGAATGTATAACCAATAACATCAAGCATGACCTTCTTTTACAATAATAGATGCAGCATTAGACACACATAGACAGTAAAAAATATTTTGATTAGGATTTTGTTTTTTTAAGCTGTAAATAAGGCCTTCTATCATTACTAAGACAGCTCAGTCTTAAAATATAGAAAGACAAAGGCCAAATAGCCCTATGCATCCTTCCTATATGTCCTACAACACAAAGAACCTAATATCATTTAGGTTTTCCTAACAATGAACTAAGAACTGTGATGATGTTGCAAAACTACAAAGGAAATGAGAATTTATGTCAAGATAAAGCTTAAGCATCAAATGTATGCATGAAAAAGAAAGATGGTGAGCAAGGGAGTATTGATTGGAAGGAGTGGCTATGTTGAACCTCCAGCACTATATATATTTGATAACAAACAATATATCAATAAGAAAGAAAGGATTCAAAGGAAGTGAACCAGTATTCCACCACAAAGAACCTTATCTATTAATCTTGAACACATAATTTGTTATTAGAGTTCTCTCGATAGATCCAATCAGTCTGCCATTAGATTGTTCTTATCATCAATAATGACCCATCTGCAAAATTACTGAGTACTTGAAAAGCTCTCACACACACTCTCTATTATTCTCTGCCCCTAACAAATATCCCCGAGGAAAAAACAAAAAAGTAGCATAAAAAATAACATCAACCTCAAGCCATTCTGAAACTTATCCAACACCAGAAGCCCATAAAAATGTAAGAATAAAACTGTCCCACAAGAAATTGCCTCCTCTGCTCTAACATCTTCAAAAATTTCTTATTCGTTTCTTGACAAATAAACCAAAAAAAAAAAACACCTCCAAGAAACAACATCTCCATGACCAACCATGCATGAGGGAGAGGCACACACACATAATAGCAAGGTTCTTTTTCTGGAAGCAAATTGCGACAAGTTTATGGACACAGCATAGCAAACTTTGCATAATTATCATTAACTTTCATTTCTTACTCTCTAAGTCCAGAATTTGATTTTGCTTATTACATAGCTCACCTCTAAACAAAATCTTAAAGAATCACAACAAAAAAGGCATAAAACTGAAACACATAAAATATCCGTAGAGGTTGAATTGGAACTAACATGTAGAGATAGTCTTTCTAATTTCCCCCCATTTCTAATTATTCCCACCTATCTGATTGAAATAAAAAATAATATTGAATTACATATTTTATTCCCAAAATAATTAAATTCTAGAGTATAAAATTAGTACAATTGACAAGACTCTAAACCATAAGAGGGAGGGATTCAATTAAATTCATTTCTTCAAGTATTCTAAACACACTCTACAAGGAAATGATTCCTTGAAAATCACAAGTGTAAGCAACTGCAGACCTGGCAATGGCAGATTTTCCCTTTTTAGTCAACATAATTAGAAAAAAGATTGACCTGAAAACATGCCTAATGACCGATTGACTTTATAATGCACTTGAGATCTATATATATACCTTTTTCCCTTTTTAGTCAACATAATTAGAAAAAATATTGACCTGAAAACATGTCCAATGACCAATGTGACTTCGTAATGCGCTTGAGATCCAAGAAATACAGCATCGAACTCGTGAAACTCAGTACTATCCTTCCTTGTAAACATCTGTAGCATGGAACTTAAACCTTGTAAACATCTGTAGCATGGAATTCAAACCTTGTAAATTACTGATACCAAAAAACATGGCATTCAAGAAATTAGTAGAGCCTAAAATAAATCCATTAAGAAGTGAAGTAACATGAAACTAGCATTAGGTTAGGACCAAGAGCTTATTTCACACAAATCTTAACTAAAGTTGCAGACAATTGGATTAAAGTATAGAAACTAACTAATGGGTCTAAAATATGGCATATGAAAAATAATCAATCTGTCAATCCAAAATTCCTTACTCTAAGTTTTGCACAAAACTAGTTATAAAAGACTTATTATCAAAGATATGTTTTATCAATAACTCTCATTCAACCGAAACGTAATAAGCTTGATACACCAAATTCACTTGTTTTCTTGAGCTATAAACATTGTAGTATTAAAAGAAATTGAATTAATTATCTCAAAAACAACGAAAGAGAGCAAAGGGCAAGTATTTTGCCATGAGAGAGCAGTAGCAATTGAGAGAGTGATGCTAGGCTTCTCTGCAACCTGAGAAATGTTTATTACAAATAGTGAGAAAGAAACAACGGAGCAAAAGAAATCTATTCAATACATTTCTCCAAAGGATCCTGGATGTGTGCATATGTCCACGTTTGCAGTTGCTTCTGCACATCATAACATTGTTCAAAGAAATTTAATCCAGCCAAATTAGTGCTAGTCTAAATGAAAGTAAACCTCAAACGAAAGAGAAACACAATTTATGCCTGACATAAGCACAAGCTAGATCTTTCTTTTTCAAATAAGTCTCCAGCAGTTCATCAAGTGGGACTAGTGGAGTGTTAGGTCCAACAAAACTGAAAGACACACCAAATTCTATTAGAAAACTATACCTGTTTGCTGTTCTAGAGTTGCATAAGAAGTTGACCCCTGTTTGTGTATGCTTTCCAACACTTCCACCTTGCACCTTTTTATCCTGCAATTAATCATTAAATGAATTTACAAGAGAAGAATATTTATTAAAAAACAAAAAATGTGCATGTATTTTGACCACTAAAGCTTATAAACTTAAAAGACCTAGAGTATAGGTATCTACAAAAAGTCAATCAAAGGCAGCATCATCACATGCTGAGATGATTTGACACCAAATACATCCTCACTTCTTTCAATAACATTCCCAGCAACTAGATACCTCGGCCATTAAAATAATCTCTCACTTCTACATCATTAAAGTCAATCTCCATATATCCCCCAATGCCAAATGAATCGAGCATGTGATATAAACTAAACCATAAGTGGACAACTTAAAAAAGATAAAAGTTTGGACAGACGCATCACACATCACAAAAATTAGGACAACTTGTCATGAAACAAAGAATATACTAGGCGAAAATAAATCTCTACTTTCTCAGTGAATCAAACCATTGATGTTCAATGAAGATAATACTACACAATGAAATAAAGCATTAAAATTCTGCCATGAAAATTGAAAGAGTACTTCTGTAGCAAGAATTGCACAGTAATTTCTATGCACACAGATAATAATATAAAACTCTACCCACAAGTATATCATCTTAAATAATATGCGTAAACAGCTCTCATACCAGACCTATATCATGTTAACATACCTTCAAACAACCCAACAATTTCATCAATATGAAAACCAAAGAAGACACCATTGCTAGTAAATTAAAATCTGAAATGTTGAGTAGACCTACTAAAAGCATGAAAAGTTTTACTCATGAAGAGAGCAGGTCAAATGATACAAACACCTAAATCTTGTTATATCTAAATTTCAAAAGAGTGAACTTCCAAAAGATCACAACATTTCCAAACGTGCCTCATTCACAACCCAAAAAGAATTTAAAAATAAATAAATAAATATACATACAAATACCTCTTGTTATTGAGGTCATTATCATCCCCAGCCTCCTCGTCCTCAGCTTCTTCATCCCTGGCTTCCTCATCCTCAGGTTCTTCATCCCCTGCTTCCTCATCTTTAAAGTCATCATCTTCAGCTTCTTCATCCGGTGATGACTAGGCTGAATTACCTCCCAGCTCTGCATCAAGAAATGCAGCAAAGTCGTCGCTGCTGGATGAATTTACTGGAGAATCAGCCACAAAACTCATCTGATAATCATTGAAATGAAACACCTTCAATTTAAATGTCCGGATAGAAGTTGACGATGAATTGAAGTAAGAAGTACAAAACATGAAAGAGCAGCTTGATTGACCAAAAAGAGAGAGAGAGAGAGAGAGAGAGAGAGAGAGAGAGAGACCTTTGATCAAATTAATTCAAAAAATAAACAAATGATAAGCACTACGGTTGACATCAAGGAAGCTTGATAGAGAAACCATCACAATTACATAGCACATGGTAGCAATTTCAAAATGTCATTCAGTGATTTCGCAATTAAAAGCACAAGTAATAAGGTCCAAAGCAAGAAATGTGGCATCAAATACTATGAAACATAAAAGTACAAAAGCACTTTCGAGATGAAGTAAAACCTTTTGCCCTAATCGCAACGAGAAGAAGATTGAGTAGAACAAAGCAATTACACGAATCCCAACGAGAAGAAGATTGAGAAGCAAAGAGCAATTAGAAGATTGATTGAGAAGATTTGAGAAGAAGATTGATTGTCGCAAAATGGGTGGGAATTCAACGCGGGGAGGGGGTGGGGTTTGTTTTTTCGACTTAATTAACAGTTAAAAAAAATGTCACAAAATTGAAACTACAACCGTCAAATAAAAATTATTATAATTTATTTTTGAACAAATCTTTGTAGTTAATAAATATCAAAAATTATTCAAAACAGTTAAGAAACAATTTTTTTAGAAAGATAAAAAATATCTATCAATTCATTCTATTAAAGATGATGGTTTTTCTAATTGTATCGAATCCATTAGATGCAATTTTAAGAAATAAGAAGTAGTTGCAAAATTATCAAAATCTCAAACAGTACATTGCATTAACAAGAGCTACTACTGATACGGAAATGTTACAGAATCTGTTTGATGAATCGATGAGTTCTTCTAAATTTGTTCTATCTGTAATTTTTTTTGTCGTTCTCATAAATCTCCTTAAATGAATCATCGATGAAAACGACTAAAGTTCTATGTTTAATGAATGCAACCCTAAATCTAACGGTTAACCAATAAAAAGGCCAAGGTTTGAATAAAACGAGTTTGAGACTAATGAAAAGATGATACCCTTGGTTTGTGAAAAAGAAGTTCAAGGAGATTGATGAAAAGGCTACCCCCTTTGGTTTAACTTTTCAAACCCTATCCTATTCAATCTAGTGAAATACATGTTTGTTTTAATATTAACTATTCAATTCAAAATCCAATCTTATTATATTCAACTCAAAACATTTATCAATAACTTTTTTCAATAAAAATTTATAAATTAATAAAAACACTCCTATCCACCCAACTATTGTTGTCGGTAGTCGGCCACCACCACTGAACGATGCTGAAAGTCATCGGAATAACATACGATCGGTTGGATCTAGCTGTTCGTGCATTGATCTGACTGTTTCTGGCCAAATTTACCATGGATCTAGCCGTTGACAACTAGATCTAGTTATTGACGACGACCATATCTTAACCATCGTTGATGACAAAACGACAACCGGAAATCTGAAATCTTGGCCATTGTTTGGCCATCATCAACAATCAAATTTTTGGCTGTCGATCTAGTAGTTTCCGGCTAGATCCATGGTGGGTCTGGTCCAAAAAAGTCATATCAACACATGACTAGCAAGATCCAACTAGTCGTGTGCCATTCTGGCAACTTCCGGCCATCGTTCGGTGGTGGTGGCCAGCTGCCGACAATAGTTGGGTGGGTGGAGGTGCTTTTGTTAATTTATAAACTTTTATTGTAGATGATGTTTAGAGGTGGAACAAATGGGCCGAGTTAAGCGGGTCAACTCTAACCTGGCCCGCATTCAAGAGGGTTCAACCTGGACCGTCAATAAGGCAAGCCGGGTTTAACCCAACCCGCCAGCAACCCCCGAGATAGCCGGGTTGAGAAATGGCAACCCGGCGACCCGCGGGTTGCTGTTTTCTCCTTTCTAGAGAAAGAATCGCCAACTCGCCGAGTTGACCCGCGGGTTGGCTGTTGCACCAATGGCCAACCCGGTGGGTTGGCCGAAAAACAAATAAAAAAAAAATTATTTTGTTTTTTCCAATTACCCTTTTACCCTTGAAATATAGCTGTTTTATAGCCGTTGGAGGGGTCTTTTTCATCATTTTCTTTTCCCATTTTTTTCTATAAATTGGCCCTAAACTCTCATCTTTTCTCACAACTCAAATTCTCTCATTCTGTCATTTTCTCTAATCTCTAATATCTCAATTATTCATTTATTCTCTTAATCTTTTTGTTATCAATTTGCTCTTATTTTAATTTTTATTAGTTTTTGCAATTTTCAATTCATATTTCCAATTTTCATATTCCAATTCTCTTTCTTTAATTTTTTATTTTTTCTACATCAATTTTTTTTTTCAACTACAATGCATAGATATTTCTCTTCCATCAATATCAATGATGAAGAAAACTACTATCCTAGTCCTAGTCCTGCTGATTTTACTAACATAAATGCAGGAGATTCAAATAGTCCCGCAACTTTCCCAGTCTCAGAATCCGATACACCTCAAAATATGCCCCCGATTCCTCCCCATATAGCTCCCGGTGGTTCTAGAAGTCGTCCTCGTAATCGTCGTCCTTGTCCAACTTCATCTCAAGCTGAAGCGGGTTCATCAACTGCTGTCGAAAGCAACAACAAATACACATCAGACGTTTGGACGCATTTCGATAAGTTTTACGAGGTAGAAAATGGAGTTCAAGTGAAGAAAGCAAGATGCAAGTATTGTGGAAATGTTTATAAAGCTAATTCAAGTAATGGTACTAGTACTTTAAAAAGGCATGCTAATAAACATATTGCTCAACATGGAAATAGAGAAATCAATCAAACTCAAATAACTAATATGGGTATTACTTGACGTTATAATTCTGATGTATATAGGGAACAATTAACTTTATATATTGCTGCAACTGATCAACCTATTAATATGGTTGAAGATAAATATTTTGAAAGATTTATTAAAAATTCATTTTTTCTAGGATTTAAAAGTTATTCTAAAACTGCAACTAGAAATGATTTAATAAAATTATTTAAGAAAATGAAATTAGAATTAAAAAATAAAATACATACTTGTCATGTTAGTGTGGCTCTAACTGCCGATATTTGGAATGGCAAGATTATATTTGTGTGACTAGTCATTATTTTGATAATGAATGTAAATTAAATAAATCTTTATTAGGATTTAGATTAATGGGTGTTGATCATAGTGGTCAACAAATTTATAATAAAATTATTGAAGTTTTAGAAGATTATGATATTGTTAGTAAAGTGATAAGTTTAACTTTAGATAATGCAAGTTCTAATAGTAGAGCTATATATTATTTTCAAAGTAATTATTTTTTATATAACAATTTGAAGTTTTTTCACCAATGTTGTGCATGTCATGTTATTAATTTAATAATGAAAAGTGGTATGAAAACAATTAAAGAAAATATTGATAGAATTATAGATTGTTTAGCTTGGATTACTAGTGGTAATAAAAGAAATGCTGAATTTCAAGATGCTTGTATAAAATTAAATATGTCTCCTAGAACATTTGCATTAGACATGCCTGTTAGATGGAATAATACTTATTTAATGATTGATTCATGTTTACCTTATTTTAATTTAATTAGTTATTTTGTAGTAAATAATAGAGGTCCTCATTATTTGATAAAAAATGATTGACAAATAGCTAAAGTATTTCATTATTTTCTTAAAAAATTTTACCAATCCACTTTACAACTTTCTGATGTGTATTATCCTATTAGTCCATTGGTAATACATACAATTGTAAAAATTTCAGAGTTATTTACAAAAAACAAAAACAATGAAATTTTAAAAGAACCAATAAAGGCAATGAAATTTTTTTTTTAAAATATTTTAAACCCATTCCTTTTCTTTATTGTTTATGTGTCATTTTTTATCCTAGAATTAAACAAGAAGGTTTAGAAAATGGTTTAGAGACATTAACTGAAAATTTACAAAACTTAGCATTTGTCAATCAAATAGAAGAGGTAAAAAATTGTCTTCCATAGGTATATTTCTAATATGAAAACAGGTATGGGAACCCACAAAGACACGAAATACAAAGGGAAGTTTCATCAGAAGAAACAAATGAAGACTTCTACACCTGGAGTGCATTTAATAGGCCGAAGAGGAACCGAACCCGAAGCACAGACGCAGCCTCCTCTTCAGAAGCACCAACGGCAACAACGAATCTACTGTCCGCCATGCAGTCACAGAGTAACGAGCTTTAACAATATTTGGGAACTCCTGAAATATTACCAACAAATCCACAACAAAGAGCCAACTTTGATGTCTTGAAATATTGGAAAACCAGAAAATGTATTTTTCCGGTATTATCAAGACTTGCCTTGGATGTTTTTGTTGTTCCAGTCTCAACCGTCTCATCCGAACAAACATTTAGTGTAAGTGGAAGAATTTTAAATGAAAGGAGGACTAAACTTTCACAAAAAATGATTGAAGTCCTCATATGTCTTCGAGATTGGGAACGGTCGCGCCATCAAGATCAATACGAGGTTCTCGACGATACTTTAATAGAATCATTTCAATTTTGTAATATAGATGATACGGATGAGGGAGATCCTAGTCAACCCCAAAATTAGTTGTTTTGTAAATTGTAACTTGTAAATTAATTGTCAATTATTGCACTCTTTTTTCCTTACCAAGTTTTTATCCCATTGGGTTTTTCTTGGTGAGGTTTTTAACGAGGTAATAATTATTGTAATTTCTTATTTTATTTTTTGATAACTGAATAAATTTATTTTTTCTTATATTACAATTTTAATGTATTAAAATTGAATTAATATTTGAAATGTTAACAAAAAAAAAAAAAATTAATTTAATTGAATTATTGATATTTGAAAAGAAGTTAACTAAAAACAATTACATTATTCATTTATAAATTGTTAATTATTCATTTGAAAAGTTAATTAAATATTTAAACTTAAACAAAACAAAATTCAAAAATCAAAGAGGGGGTTAACCCGGCCCGACCCACAGCCTAAACCGACGGGTTAGGGTTGGCGGGCCGGGTTGGGCCAGCCAATCCCCCAAAATTGGTGGGCCTAACCCGACCTACCAATGTTGGCGGGCAGGTCAGGACCGACCCGCCAATTTGCGTAACCCACAGTGGGCCGGGTCGGGTCAGACTTGGCGGGTTACTTTTCCACCTCTAATGATGTTTAGTTAAATTAACAAATGTAAAAGGTAAAAAATAATCTAAATATTTTCCAAAAATATACCAAACACATTCTCAAAATCATATCATATTTGATTAAATCTTATTCAAAATAGAATACTATTCTAAAAACAAAAAAACAAAGGGGTAACACTAAAACACCCTTGGCTTGAGAAAACAATTTGCACTTCCGTATCACACGATGAATCTGTAAAAAAAAAAAAAACATTTTACTGATGACATTGTTAGAACAAAAGTGAAAAAATTATAAATTATATGTTTAAGGATTTAAGGCAATCTTTATTATTATTTCTTATTTTATAAAAAAAAAG